AAAAAAAAAAAAAAAATACAACGAACTTCGTTGAACGAAGACATCGAAGAGAAAAAGAGAACTCCAAACGCGGAAAAAAAAACGAGACGCAGGCTCAAATGATTTGTTTATATGAAGAAAAACAAGAAAAAACTTGAGAAAAAAAAAAAAAGACTTGTCCTAGACACAATCCCCAAGAGCGAGCCTATTCAATGTGCCTGATCCGAAGTGACGAACGTCAAAATCCCCTTGCTCAACTTTTACGACAGCGCGCAACAACGGACCTATTCAATGCGCCTGATGCGCGCTGAGATTGACGTTCTTCGACGCACACACACACACACACACACACACACACACACACACACACACACACACGTACAGATAATATATGCATGGCCACCACTTCCACCACGACCGATTGCAATCCCTTGACGGTGGCCACCGATAGCTGCATTAACAACGGACCGTCAACCTGCCGGGAGGTTTTCTGTATTATATGTTCGTACCTTCCTTGCTGCCTTTCCCACAACACAAAGGAAATGACAGTTATGCCCATTGAGATCAACTTCTATCCCTTGATGGATGTATCTTTGGAACCAATCATTCATCACCGTTGGATCCTCCTCCTCCTCAACCAGCTGAAAAATTTCAAATTTACTATTTAGTATATTTTATTGATTGCTGAGACCAGTCGAAGTCCCTGCAACATATAAAAAAAACTCTGCAAAGTTCGGAAAGCTATCATCGAAATCTGTCAAGCGGACTCGAACCTGCTTCTGTACGGAAAATACCCGCCAAAAAAACTGAAGGTTCACACTCCCGGCAACATATAAAAAAACTCCGCAAAGTTCGGAAAGCTATCATTGAAGTCTGTCAAACGGACTCGAACCAGCTTCCGTACGGAAAATACCCGTCAAAAAAACTGATGGTTCACACTGGTTGCAGCTCTCTCTTCTCCCAACCGGGCAAATCTCTGCACTGCAATGAGGGTCAAACGGGTGCTTCACCACACAGCTTGCAGCTCTTCTTCAACCCGGTAAGTCGCCGAGGGTGCTTCACACTGCTTGCAGCTCTTCTTCAACAGGGTGAACCGCCCCCCTGCAACGAGGGTCAGGCTCGTGGTTCACAGTGGCTGCAGCTCGTCTTCAACCGGGCAAATCACCTGGCCTGCGATGAGGGTCAAACTGACCTCATGATAGGTTGCCCAAGGGTGGCATGGCGTACACGTACGTAGCTCTCGCGTATAGGAAACTCACCTCATGACAGGTTGGCTAACTAACCCAAGGGTGGCATGGCGTACACGTACGTAGCCCTCGCGTACAGGAGTACACGTACTACCGGGCAGAACACGTGTACTCACGTGCAGAACACGTGTACTCTCATGCAGAACAAATGTAACTATGGTTAAGCTACCCCTACCATACTACAGTATGAGCAGGCAGAGCTTCAACCGGGCAAACTGCCCATGCGTGGCGAGGGTGAAAATCACGTCGTGATAGGCTCCCCCTATCATATAGTCAGCAGGCACATTGCCAACGCGAAAAAATGACCTGACCAAAACTTGAATAGGCTACAAGACTGGCTAATATAACACGCCAGGCAACGCCAATTTCAAAAGTCACCAAAAAAAAGAGAAAAGGTGTCGGGCCCAGTTTGCTACTTCTGCGCAGAACCAAACAGTTTCAAGTCCTTGAAACCTGTCGAGTCCATGGAAACAGTTAAGTCTATGCGAGCTGTGCCCACGAAGCCTGAGTGCCATATAACTGGCGAGTCGCGGGCTTCCTCAAGACACAAGCTTTGAGTGAAGGTTGCAAAAGTTCAGCAGAGAGTCCATGGAAACAGTTAAGTCTATGCGAGCTGTGCCCACGAAGCCTGAGTGCCATAACTGGCGAGTCGCGGGATTCCTAAAGACACAAGCTTTGAGCGAAGATTGCAAAACTTCAGCAGCACAGAATAGCGGCATTGCGAGCAGATATCCTCGCGGAATAGAAAAGAGTGCAGAGGGACAAAATCTCCCCTTTCTCTGTAATCACAACAGTCTTCTTCTCTCCCGACACGCTGAACTTGACAGAAACTGTGACAACAACCAAAGCCATTCGTCACTTCTTTTGGTTTCCTTGGCTGGCTGCTGGCTCAGCCTAGGAATGATAAGAGTACATAGGCATCAGATCTCCCCTTTCTCCGTAACCACAACACTCTTCTTCTCTCCCGCCATGATTAACTTACAGGCAATAAACAGGTGATGACAACAACAAAGGGGTTTCCTAGACAGACGATGTGGCAACGACTAGAGCCAGGACTTTCTTTCCGTCTCTTCGTTGCTGTCCTTTTTGTAAGATGCTGCCTCAGCCTGTGACTCTACAACAACAAGAAGTGCTTATTTGCATTTGCATTATAGCTTATAAGTACTTCAACGATATCAAACAGCTTTGACATGGAAAACACAGTTAGTTGCCTCCAACCAGCTAGGCGCTGTATGTGCCTGTGTTCGACTGCAAAAAGACAGCTGCCTCCGGCCGGCTGACGCCATATGTGTCAGCCTGCCGGGAATGCAAAGAACGACAGCTGGCAGCAACCAGCTAAGTCGTGTATGCGTCACTTCTCTGTCAAAAAAAAAGTTGGTGGGAGGCTCAATCTGCTCATGACAGACTGAACGACTGCACAAAGCGCAGTTCCCAACTCGCTTGAACGAAGGACGGTAGTCTACCCGCCCCCGCACCACCACCCCCCTACGCTAGCATTCTGACTCTTATGGCATGAATGAATCCACAAGTGCTTGAACAACCATACTGCATCTCGCTGCATAATATAGACTCTTGCGCACATCCAATGAAATGCGCCTAAGGAGACGACTGCTCATATAACCATTGCAGATTCACAAAGCACCCAACAATCTCACCTGTAGTCTGCAGGCCTTCGCCAGGTCATGCTCTGCTCCGTTGATTTTCCTGATGCTGCCAAACCTCCAAGCTCATGCACGGTCCACCACCGTCATTGGACAGGAGATAAGGTACAAAAGCTTTTTATGTACAAGGCAATGAAAAGCATGGACAGTTTTGCAGCCCCCAAAGGAACGTACATGCGATACTCGTAAATCTCCAGTAGGTTGCACACTTTTTCCAGAGCCAAGCGGTGCCGCCCCCATTTCATCTTCGATTGCTGTTTTCGCTCTTTCGACCATCTTCGTTTGATGACCTCACTCCGCCATCAGCACCTGGTAAACCAATCGGAGATTTTCCTCTGCCTTCTCTGCCAGGCTGCCTGGAGCGTCATACGATCGAACCACGTTGCCAACTGGAGCGTCATATCATCGAACACTTTTCCAGAGCCAAACGGTGCCGCCCCCAGTTCATCTTCGATTACTGCTGTCTCTCAACCATCTCCGTACGACACCCTCTCTCCACCATCAACACCTCGTAAACGCACTGTAGGTTTTCCTCTGCCATCTCTGCTAGGCTGCCTAGAGTGCCATATGATCGAACAACTTCACGGACGGAGGCAGTAGCGGGGCATCTGACAAGGACAACACAGCACCTTGTCTCCACCATCCCCCTTCGCTATTCATTCTCCCTACTATCAGGCACAATTCGTAGTGCAGTCTCTGAATTCTTCTTTGCCTCCTGTGCCGTTGGTGAGCATTCCAAGAATGGAAGGTGCCTCCAGATGGACCATTGCCCACTCCACTGGGTTACGGACACCCCTTTCTGGATTGCGTAATGGGCTTTCTGGATTGCGTCCTGGGCTTTCTGTATTGTGTCCTGGGCGCTCTCCGTCTCTTACACAAGAATCGATCGCGCCTCCAGATGGAGCATTGCCCACTCCCTCCCCTGCGTCACGGACACCCCTTTCTGGATTGCGTCCTGGGATTTCTGGGTTGCGTCCTGGGCAATCTCCGTCTCCTACACAAGAATCGAAGGTGCCTCCAGATGGAGCATTGCCGACTCCCTCCCCTGCGTCACGGACACCCCTTTCTGGATTGCCTCCTGGGCTTTCTGGATTGGGTCCTGGGCGCTCTCCGTCTCTTACACAAGAATCGAAGGTGCCTCCAGATGAAGAATTGCCCACTCCCCTGCGTCACGGACACCCCTCCGTCTCTTACATAAGAATCCAAGGTGCCTCCCGATGGCGCATTGCCTACTCCGCTTCGGCACGGACACCCCTTTTTCTGGAATGCGTCGTGGGCAGTCTCCGTCTCTTACGCAAGCTCCAGGACTTGCAAACATACCAAGAAGTCAAGGCTGCATGCTAAAAAGAAATAGTCAACAGATTATCAATGTAGCAACTAGTGCCAACTATGATAAAAAAGAAATGTGCATACAGCCTCCCCAAGAACAAGGTTATGACGCACTCGACAATTGATTGCTGCCATTCTCCAAAGGTCACTTATGGCCTGCTGCTTCTTAACAGTACCATACGCTCAGTGCTGAACTTTCCGTCTCTCCAAGAATCCCCAAAGAATTACAACAGGGCAAAAGTACAAGCATACAACCTATTCCATATGATCCTCTCTCTCTCTCTCTCTCTCTCTCTCTCTCTCTTTCTCTCTCACCATATTATTCCATGCTATTCGCTTGCATGGCGCCTTCACACGCAGTTTCCCGACCAGAGACTGACTGGACTTCCTTTCTCCCCCTCTTCACCCCTTTGCCATATCGGCCTGCAATTTTCCCCTCCGCGGATTCCCAATCAAATGACTCAAGGTTGGGTCCGTCCACGTCCCACACCATACTGCACCACGCTGGGACACAAAACAGCGCAGAACGAACTCCTTTCCTTTGTACAGATCGAGCATACATCATGCACATACTACAATCGCAGAGATTTAGAACCCCGTATGGCCTAGGCCTTAGACAGCCAACGAGAGGGAGACTTAGAATGCAGTGTGGGCTAGGCCTTAGATAGCCAACGCACACCAGTGGCTCTCTCAGGGGAAAAAAAGCCGCCCATTCTGAGCCGGCCGATAAAATTACACATGGCACAACCCCTTGAGGCACACAGACTGTCAACGCAGCGTACCAAAAGACGAAAATGCCATGCCGCTTCCACCCTCCACAGAAGGGAGGTACCTCTCCCACCGGGTATGCGGCATATCTCTGTGAACATCCCATTTTTCAAACCGCCTCCTCCCTGATGCTGTGCGTCACCCTGCAACAAAGAAAAATGCAGCCTGGGTATCGTACTGGATCAACACAATTACCTAAACAGCAGAGGCACATGAAAGGACGCTCAAGCTAACGCAACATGCAGCTGTAGAGCGTAATGGTCGAAGCCTGCCTTACCACGAGACCTACGAGTCGAAACAGCGAAGGAAGACGGGCATAGCGATCTGGGGCCTCTGTGTGGAAGGGCTCTGGCTCAATGGATCAAATGTACGCTGAGGTGGCGAAGACACGGGTTCGAATCCCGCAAGGGATGCTTAGCTGTTTCTTCCAGATGATCAGCCACAACAGGGCGATTACTCCCAAGACAACAGGACAAACGGCCCATTCCGCACATACCTCTCCTCCTGCAACTGAGCTGCGCCTTATCAAATGCCGACACGGCGCAGCCCACAGACCGTAACTGCTCTTCACGTCCGATACATATTTCTCCGGTAAGGACACCAGGTCTTCCCTTATTCCACCTCACACAACATCACCATCTGACGACTGCTCAACGAATCGCCATGTCACCTTTGCGTTCTGCACCAAAAAAGTGATGTCAGTCACCTCCGTACCGAGCTCCACTTCATGCCCATATATGCACAGTGCATGCATCACAAACTTTTCGGCCTTCGGATCCGTTTCGTAATCAGCCTACATGCGTACATGTATATCACAAGTAAGGGGAGGGGCAACACCATGGGTCCTCTCCCTGCAAAGAAGTTACATCAGCCGGCAAGCACCTTGTCACATCCTCCTCTCAACCCATCGTTTCCCAAGAGTGCTCAGCTTGTGTATGTGGATCATCGTCACGATCGACCCAGCAATACAGTTCTCTTATTCACCAACACCATGGTACAAACAAAACCAGTCGCACGCACTGTGCACAATACGTTCTCCGTGTTGTTGAGCCACGTACAATTCACGTACAATTCACGTACAATTCACGTACAAACTTCATTTTCAAGTGTCACTATTTTCTCACAGAGTAACCCCCCACCCATGCGACACCCATGGGCTTCTCATCGGAGATTTACAAATCTTCCCTCTCGGGAGCATCCAATTCACTGGTTGATGTCAAACAACTGACTGGTTAACTTTGGCTCATGCCGTGACAACTCGATAACTCAGAGCCAAAAATGCCCACTTGCACATTTGAGACGGTAACCAACAAACACCTTGCTACGGGAGAGATAGCGCACACGGCACGACAGCGTCACCAAGTACACAAAGGGGCAGGCAGTCGAAGGGCAGGTAGCCTCCCCGCAGGTGCTGCACGACTATGATTGACAGAGTACATTGATAGCTTGCACGGCTATGAAAGACCGTGTGAGCATGTGACACCAGCATGAGAGCTTTTGTAACTTAACTGGTTGAAGTTCCCTCCTCAGCAATACCTGAAGCTGACAACATACTGAGGCAGAATGAAGGTATTCATGTTCATCCCCCAGACGATGTAACTTGATGGATCTCGCAAATTGTCTACACCAGTGTCGAACTGCGGCCCGCTGGGTTCGAACTGAGTAGACTCGAAGGGGACCATCTCCATTGAGCCCAGCACCACTTTACACAGAAGCATGTGTTTCTCTCCTGTGTGGTCCGGGGCCGAATACTCGGCACTTCGATAGGCATACTTCTCGGGAGCAAGGTAGATACCACATCCGTAGAAGTTCCCATTTCTCGCTTTGTTCTGGAGAGAAAAACCAGTCAAGATGATCTTCTCCAAGCTGCCAAGGGGGGCTCCATGCCAAGCCCACCTGACATTCGCATCGCCCCTTGCCTCCATTCTATCTGCCTTATACAGCTCAAACGCATTCACTCTCGGCTTTGGAACCGTCACTCGGTGCACAGCTGTCACTGTCACATGTTTTCCCAACGGTGTGCTGGGCGTCATGCGACCGGGCGTCGTTGAGGGAGTCGTCCACCCCGGGGTCGATGGCGTCATGCGTCCCGGCGTGCCCTCGATTGAAAGAGCTCGCCGTCCAGGTGTTGCAGAGAAGGACAACGGTCTGGACCCCGGTGTGCGTCTGCCCGGAGTGCTTCTCACAGGCGTTTGCATGGCTGACGATGACGAGCACTTGTCCATACCGCGAAGGAAACGCCCAGCCACCTCATAGTACTCGTCCCCATCTTCCACGAGCGAAAACATTGATGGATGCGCGCCAAACCGCCGAACGACAAGCGGGTCGGTCTTATCTGAAACGACCATTGCATAACGTAACTCCCCGGAATCGCAATCCCTGTCAAAACTATCCAGATCGACAGAGGGCGAGGCGCGCCATTCTCTAACCGTAGCCGACTGTCTCTGGTCCGCAAAAAGCACACTTTCTGATGCTGCATTTCGTGCCTCGAAATGTGTTTCAACTACATTTCTGGGTTCTGCCGTCAGACCGTAATGAGCTATATACCTGGGGTCTTCTGCCCCAATGTGCATACCCTGATAAGGCTGAGGGGGGTATCGCCATGCCCCGTCAGGCCCCGCCTTCCATGCAATCGACCTTGTATACAGACTTGCTGCATTGATTTGCACCTGCTGCACAAAGTCAATGATGTACCTACTGTCATCCACCACGAGGGTTGTAAAGTTGACCCCTTCACCAAGTTCAAACCCAAGAACATTAGCCGCACCTGGTTCGAAGTCAAACCAGCAATTTCGATTGTAATACCGAAATTCCACCGGCACTTCCAACGCATGGCTTCGCAAGCGTTCCTGCATTGCCTCGTTCTGACAGGATATCGCAATATGTATTGGCATGCAGCCCTCCTGCCACATCAGCATGCCCACAAATGCCACCACCCATTCGTCACATACGTCAGAACAAACACACAATATCTAGTATCTACCACCCTCCTGCCACATCAGCATACCCACAAATGCCACAACCCATTCGTCACATACGTCAGAACAAACACACAATATCTAGTATCTACCTAGGCTACCAGAGTGGCCCGGGGTCACTTGCCCGGCCGGGCCAAAAATAATAATAACAATAAAATATTTTTAAATTTTATTTTTTATTTTAAATTTGGTGAAGATTTTTTTTTTTTTTTTTTTTTTTNAAGACATTTCTTTGAGTTGTGAGTAGTAGTATGGGTTCCAAAAATGCAGTGGAAAAAGTTAAAGTGTGAGGATGCACTCATCTCTCTAACTTGTGGACTGATTTATTTATTTATTTACTGTGTTACGGAACATACGGGTCACCTTGGTTGCCCAGGAGGCCAGGCAAGCGTCGCGGAAGGTCCCTGCAAAAAAGAGAAAAAAAATTGAAAAGACTACCAGAGTGGCCCGGGACCACTTGACTGGCTGGTGCAATTTTTTTTAAATATATTTTTGAATTTTATTTTGGGATAATTTACGAAATACCCCCATCAGTTGAGATATATGCCAAAATGCCCCTGAAAGATGTGGGTTGAGCGGAATGCCCTTTTGGGCCGAAAGTCTTTCTGTTATGCCCCTGTCAGGCAGGTGTGCAAATGTGCAATCTGGACCTCGCTGTTTGGGCATGGCCTTTTGCAACCGGGCCTTAGGAAAGTTGCCAAGTTCTGGGTATTTTGCAAAGTTGGATGGTACCCGGGAGGATTATGTCACAAAGATGGGGGGTCCAACTGACACGAAGGGTATTTCACAAATTTCTTTTTGTCAGAGGGGCATTCCGGCCGACCCATATCTTTCAGGGGCATTTTGGCACATATCTCAACTTATGGAGGTATTTTGAAAATTAATAAATTATCCCTTTTATTTTTTATTTTAAATTTGGCAAAGATTTTTTTTTTTTTTTTAAACACACATTTCATTATACAAACCGGGAAACGGGCCCGGCGTCCCTCACATATGTGCGGGCGGCTCCTGATTATGAGCGAGGCATCACCGGCCGAGCCCATATCAGGAGTCGCAAATTTCCCAACAAAAGAAAAAGGGAAGAAGGCAACTATCTATTCCATTATGTATTCATTACTCGAACCAAAAACTAACCACTGATCAAAAGTCCGGAAGCAGTAAATCTTCTAACACATCTATTTGCACGGAAAGGTCGCCAAGCCTCCAGAATACAAAACCACAAAACCATTATTGACAACTTGAACTATAGTACAGAAAAGGAAAGGGGCCTACTGTAACAAACTCTGCAGTTTTATCAAGCAACAAAAAAGAGGAAAATTAAATCTGTGGCTGGTCTCCCTGAGATGTTTGCACTTTAAGCAGATCAGGGAACATGTCCCAATGTTGAAAGAAGGTTCTCAATGCCTTAGGTGTGTATCCTTTCTTTTGGACTTTGAAAGACCACTCAGTTGAGATGGTCTGTTTTATGCCGAATTTAACCTCAGCTCGTATCATCGCCGGAGTCAGTCTCTCGCCCCTGTAGAGCGCAGAGTTCCTGAGCGTCCCGAGTGTCCATAGCACAGATCCCCGAAGAGTCTCTTCCGGGAACACCAGCGGCCCTTTGACCTGCTGACGCCGTGTGGCCGCCCCAAAAAGAATGAAGTTGTCGGACCATCTTTCCGCCGGGTCTGGTATCGGGACTGATCCTGATCTCCACCATTCCCAGCAGATGTAACCCTGAGGCAAAAGTTGTTCAGTTTATTTTTCTGCATAACATAAATTTTTTTTGGATTTTTTTTTTTATTTTTTATTTTTTTATTTTATTTTTGTTTGCTGGGACCTTCCTTGGTCCTTGCACGGGCTGGCCACCCATAACATAGTTTTTTTTTGGATTTTTGGATTTTTTTTTCTTTTTTTCTTTTTGCTGGGACCTTCCTTGGTCCTTGCACGGGCTGGCCACCCGGGACCCAGGAGGCCCGGCTGGTAGCCTAGGTATCTACCAATAACTGGCAATAAGCGAAAAACAAAGAAAAAAAAAAAAAAAAAAAACAGAATGTTCACCTAATCAACGACACAGCCATCCTGCCACATCAACATACCCACGACGGCCACAAACATCACAGAGTGTCTGCAAACAATCAGAAAAAAAAAAACCTTCCCCGGCGATCGGCCACCTCTCATCGAAGAGTTGTCCATGGCGACACATCAAACAGCTTCTAAAAAGGTCCATCCTTTTGCACCTAATTACAACCATAAGCAGCTGCCTGGCACCTCAGCATACATACCCACGAAAGCCACAGCATGGAACCAGTTTGTCACGTGGATAAAAAAGTTAAAACAACACAAGCTACCTGCCAATAAACAGAAAAGAAGTTGAGTTTGCACCTAATCACAACTCTATACAGCCGTCCTGCCACATAAGCGTACCCGTGAAAGCCACAACAGTGAACCCCATTTGTCACATACGTCAAAAACCACAATCTATCTGTTAATAAACAGCCCTCCTGCTAACTGAGACAGGCCACAAAACGAAAGCTCATTCAACCCATGAATAAAATAATTTCTAAAGTTAACCAAAAAAAAGAAGTTAAAAAGTGCAGGTGATCCACCAAGTAACAGGAGAAGGGCGTGTAGGATCGAGTAGCAGTTAGGAAAGCAGAAGGCCCAGAAAAGTATCTACTGCTTGCCGGGAAGGGGGGTGAAGGGGGGGGGGGGCATTATTTACGCATTGCCATTCCCTCGAAACAAATCATCGCCGCATCGGCAAAAAGTAGGAGCAATACCAAACCTCCGGCTGAGATTAAGGTGTATCATTTTTCCTGTCCTTTCTCAATGCCTAGAGTCTCACTGTTTTTTTTTTCCTTTTTTAGGACCATTTCTCGATTTATGTGTGTCGTGATGTCTTCCTTGCGGATGGGCCATGCTAATCTTCTCTGTATCTTTCCAATTTTAATGGATGTCCCGAAGGACAGGGTCACACTGTTTTTTATTTTCGATGAACCCACAAAAACATTGGACCATTTCTCAATTTATGTGTCATCCTTGCGCAGCATCCATGCTCGGTATCGTTTCATTTTAACGGATGTCCTGAAGGACTCCACAAACCAATCTATTGACTCTGAATGACCTTTTTCCAGATGGAAGAGGCACCTGCAGCACTGAGTAAGAAAAATGGCAGAACCGACAGTCAATTCATTTGTTTGCAAATGGGCTGATCGAAAAGTCTCCCAAAATAAATCATCACCGCCCAGCAGAAATATTTTTAAACCACCAGCGCCGGACAAAAATTTTCTCTTAAAGAAGATTTCCCCATCAAATATGTACGAGGCAGGCCCATAAATGGAAATACTGGTCGCTGAGTATAAGGTCGCGAGTTTCGCACGAAGGGCCCCAGTACCGGTGCTTTAGGAGCATGCACGAGAAACCGCACCCACTTGCTCTATGAGTGGATCGCAATAAATATTTGCTAGCCCCCCTCTCGACCGTTCAAACAAACAAAAGGCCACCTCCCACAAAATGCTACCTCACCTGGTTGCGAATTGTGTGATCCGCTCCATGCTGTAGCAGTAGGTCTGCCATTTGAACATCCCCGGTCCGAGCCGCATAGTGCAGAGCTGTGTCCCCAGTCTACACAAACACCATCCAGTAAACCAGAAAATTAGTTCTCTCTCTCTCTCTCTCTCTCTCTCTCTCTCTCTCTCTCTCTCTCTCTCCCGTGCAGGTGCACATGGAGAAGTGTATGTGTGTGTGTGTGCCCACGGGATGCAGGTGCATGTGGAAGAGTGTGTGTGTGTGTGTGTGTGTGTGTGTGTGTGTGTGTGTTGTCATATTCGATTTACACTCAAAAAAGCATGACTGTACCAGACTGTTTCGTCGGACTTTCACCGACTCATCAGGAGGTTGTGTGTGTGTGTGTGTGTGTGTGTGCCCACGGGATAGACAGAGACGTACCGAGAAAGAAGGACATCAGGTGCAGACGCTTCATTAACACACACACGCATGCACACAGAAAGAGCGTTAGTCATGTTTTTTTTCTGTGGAGTTGTGTATAGCAGACATGACAACATTCACACGCAAACACACACTCGCCCTCACACACACAACCTAAAGAAAAAAAAAAACAAAGAAAAGAAAGAGATGCTAGGTATAGGTAGGTAATGGCATTGCTTACGTACATCATCTGTGGCGTCCACTCTAGCACCATGACTCAGCAAAACGGAGACGGTAGTCAGCCTGCCAGCTCGAACAGCGACATGGAGGGGTCGCCTGTGGACCTGCTGACACAAGACCATGTCGCAAATCACAAAGAAAGGACCAGATTATTCCGGATATCCTTTCACACTGGAAAACCATAGCCATTAAGAATTTAACACAAACTCGACAAACCCAAAACATAGGTTGAAAACTTCTACCACAAAAACAGAGAAAAGGAAAACAGCTATTCACTAGATAGTGGAATCAATCAGTAGTACTCTATCGCACTGAATGCTGCTCCGCACTTTCCGATCACGATTCACGCACGCCGCACACGTTCAGATGGCCTCCTTTCTGTCCTTGTTCTATCAGGATTCGGATGAATCACTCTATCAGACGACACACTATTCTGGGTTATCTCAGAGAATGAACCTAATGTAGCGCAGGTTCATCTTGTCTCTCAACATTGAGCCCAGAGAATCACTTATTCTAACTCCACACAGGACTTCACTTACCATCCCTCGAGCCGGAAAAGGGAGGGTCCGAAAAAAACTCCAGAGCTGACTGGGCCAATGAAAGCCAGTGGAATACCATAGGGTCAGGCCCCCCTGCTCCCCTTTCAAGCCACAATCGCCTGTGAGGCAGGGCCTTCTTTTCCCCTTCGGCGTGACTGCTAGTAGGATAGGACCCAGGAACTGTGGAATTACAGATTTCAGACCCAAGTTCGAATCCCAATGTCTGCTCAGATGAGCAGAGAGAAATACCTCTGAATTACCAGACACCGGTCGGTTCAATGACGATATTCCAAGGCCGTCGCACTTTTAAAAAGGAAGAAAAAGGATAGTATTTGCCCCTCTTGGGCTGGAAGAAACGTGTATGCTACCCCATCTCATTAGGCTCAGCAGGTCGGTTCCTGTCGCAGCGACAGTTTAAACCACCAGTACCCCCCGCCCAGCAACTTCACCCTGCGCACGAAAAAAAAAAATGAAGCGACGTGGGCCAGCTTTTGGCTGGCACCGCCAAGCATTTCGGTCCAGTACGCGAACCCCCAAAACATGCGGCTCTAAATGAGCCGCGACTTTGTTTTTCCAGCGGGGAAAGGTACTGCTTGCTTAACCGGTTGGGCCCTCTTTGCGAGCCCTGTCCATTTTTGTGAAGGCAAAGGAGGGGCTCTTACCCGCAGAAGAGGAACCAGGTTGCCGTCCCCCAGAATGGAAAGGGGTCTTCGCCTTATAGACCACCCGCGCACACCCATGCCTGGAGGCTGCACTGCGTGCCAAGGTTTACCGGACCGCCAGCGCCACATTTTTTTCTTTTTTGGATGACGCTGCCAGCGATTGTGGTCCGGTAGCCCCAAGCACCGAAGAAGTACGGAGTTTGCAACTCGCGATTTTCTGCAAGGCTGGGACCGTGCACTGGAGGTTTAAACAACCAGTTCCTTGCAGCCTCTTCATTTTGATGCACGACGTTGCCTATCCCTAAAATACGGAACCCTCGTAGGCAAGCAATTGCTGGGAATAGAGGTTTTTGGTCCGGCAGCCTGAGCCTGTCCATGGCCGGTTTTTTTTGGTGGTGGTGGGGGGGGAAGCATCAGATTATGGAACACCTACTACAGGCAGGGATAAGACCCCATGTCTGTCATAGGGATGGCCATACTAACAGGGGCGCATTCTTGCCAGAAGCTGGGTGGGGTACTGGTGGTTAAAGGTCACAAGTCGACATCGAAATGAAAAAGCGACGTGGACTCTAGCATTTCAGCTCTTGGCAAGGTATAGTCCTTGAAAACAGATTTGGATTGAGCGCATGAATGATGCATTGTGAGCAGGGATGCAGAAATGCAGATCCACCGTGATTCTCTGCACTTCTCCACAAACAGGTCCACATTCAGGGTTTAAATCCAATCCTCTTTGTTCGTGGGACCTCGACCTTTGGTGCCTGATCTGTGCAACTATTGATTAAACATATCATAGATCGAAATCCTTCCTTTCTCTCTTTTCTGAGGGGGGGAATCCTGCTTCTTGGTAAGACTATAACCCGGGCTTCTAGAGGGGATGTCAAGAGGTTAGACCTTGGCTACAGAGGGGCCATTAGACACTGCCTGTGCTATCTAGGCTATAGTTCGACTTATATACCGGGGGCCCAGGTCATAACAACGACACCGATTTGGGGACACAGGGGGTCCGAACCCCCTCACGAAAGGCCAGTAGTCACTTTGACACTTTCACACCTAGCTCCCGTAGTACCCGTGCAACAGCACTTGCACGGCGTCCACTTCAACCAGGGATGAGTGGGGAAGTAGGGGTCCCCCCGCTCACCCCGGATGCCTGCAAGCGCTGTCTGGTCAGGTCACCTAGCCGAGTTGGTGATGGGCGATGGTCCTGGGTGGGTCAACACGAAGGTAAGACAGAGGGGGTGGGGTTGCACCGGGGCAATTGATCAGAGGAAGTTGGTGATGGGCGATGGTCCTGGGTGGGTCAACACGAAGGTAAGGCCGCTGGAGAAGCTCGGCACGCCCATCACAAAAAGGCTGGAGGTCCACTTCTCTATATATTTGTGCCATCCTTGCTATCCTCTCTATATCGTTCCAATTTTAACGGATGTCCCAAAGATCTGTGATCTCAACTGTTTGCGGCTACCGTCTTCACCTGAATAGAACGCCTGGTCATTATTGCCGCACTTGCAGTAACTTTCAGTCCAGATTCGGCAACGGTCATTATCGCTGCACTTGCAGTAACTTTCAGTCCAGATTCGGCAATGATGACCAGGCGTTCTATTCAGGTGAAGACGGTAGGAGTGTTGTGAGACGTTCACTGAACATTAGCATTTTGATGAATGAGGAGTCGTACCAGGGTTTCCATAGGTGAACCTGAGGAAGGATCATTATAGAAATAAGGCTGGAGGTGCCAGGTAAACCGCAGACCGCAACAGTTTGGAATTCTTAGGGTCGGGCAAAAAGAACATTGAAAGAACAAGGCTGGGAACTACCTGTAGTTGTTTAAACCACCAGTACATGCCAGCTATCTGCCGCCTGCCCCTTTCGGAGGCTGGCCCCCGCCAATTCATTTTATCTACGGCGCTTGGCCTCCTAAATTTTCAGAGAGCCTCAAAACAGGTTCTCCAGTTGCCTGGGGCCATGTACTGGTGCTGGTGGTTTAAACCGCCAGTACTTTGCCCAGCTCTCAGCCGCGGAAAAACTAGAGTAGAAACATTCTAGTCAGATGAATTTGGGCGCTCCTGTAGTGGCCCGTACGTTTCCTAAAATCGTGGCGACTTTAGGAAGTACTGGTGGTTTAACAGCATTATGTGTCTGGCCCAGTTATCTTTCCTTCCTAATGATTGAGTCCTTTCTAGAGGGGCTAATGTTCTTTCGTTTCCTGTGGGTTTTTTTTTTTCCGCTTGCAAGTTGTTTTTTTTGTACCAGGTCAGGCTGTCATCTCTGTCATATTCCAGAGAATTGGTCCACTTGCCCAGAGAAAGGCATAGCACATGGAAAAGTATACCGAAGAAGGATACACCCAAGACTCATTCTCCGCCGAGTCCCTATCAAGGAGCTTTAGCACTCGTTGATTTCTGAAATCTGTGGATAGTGCAAGGAAAATGAGCGATAGCGAAATGCCAGAAATCCAGAATGCAAAATCACATTGAAAGCCAGCAAGTCCAACGCTGTCCAGAAAGCAGAAATGCAAAGATATTGCACCAACAGAGAACCAAAGCACTGAATGTCAACGAGAGCAGAGTCTTGCCACCACCAACATACGTATCCAGAGTCTTTCCTCCTACTAGGCGCTCAGCACCCAGACTACTACTACACAGCCACTAGCAGCCCACGAATTGACAATGCATCCCATTGACGTCAGCAGCAACAACCAAAGTGCGTGAAGATGTCCAACTTGTAGACCATCGTGAAGACCAGGTACGTGCCCTCACATCATCATCCTCATCTCTCTCACTCTCCCTCGTCTTCCCTCTCATGCACGAAGACCACACCACCCGCTGACTAAGTCCAAGCTCCAGCCTGGCCAAGTAGGCTGGCCTATGGCGCTGCCCTCAGCAGTGCCCTGTACCTTGCACGTCCGCACGTGCTCTTCCGCACTGGCGCTAGCAGCAGCATGTGAGCGACCGTTCCAGCAGCGCTGCCGCCTGCTCTACCAAGTGCCCGAATATCGAGCCCAGCGCCCTGCCCTTTCCTATATAGAAAGTGGCGAGTGCTTTGCCTTTCTTTCACACGTGAGACCGAGTTTCCAGTAGCTCAGTCTCGGTCAAAGTGTCTGCGCCCAGGCCCGTTCAGACAGTGGCCTGGGACCGAATTGGTTAGGCATGCCCAACCACCCAGGCACAAACATGCCATGCTCCGTGCTTCCACCACGTTGCTGGAAGAGCCTGGAAGGCTCACAAATATTTTGGATTCTCACAAGCAAGGCGGATGTAACCAACTGGCGCGTGGCAACTGTCTGGCGCCGACCACGATTAGCAAAAATTGCAAGTTCAGGGCGCATTGAGATTCAGGGGCCCGCCTTCGCTTAGGGCGGGCACGCGCCTGCCGCAGGGCCCTATGCCAAGACATAAACCCTCGCAGTAGCATCACTAAACCTGTACACGTGGGTGATGCCTCTGGTAATTGTGCACAACGGCTCAACTACTGACACGCATGCAAACTCTAGTGGCACTCCTCCCCCCCCCCCCCCCCCCCCCCGGCCTTTTATTTTTGGCACTAACACATTGGCAAGACACTTACGACCTAGCAGGACGGCAGCTTGTGTATGTGAATGGAACTGTTGCTTAATCCGGCACAGGGAAAAAAGCAAAAGTTGAAGGCATCCAGTTCACAAGATCCTAAGTTGACGGAGAAGCTACCACCTTCCAAGGCCAACAAGTCTGCAACTGCGCCTTTCAGAAGTGGCCGGCTGCTTTTGCAACTGGACCAGGCCCGAAACGAAACATTCGTGTGGAATAAACTGGCAAGAGCAGTACTCGGCAACTGCGCCTTTAAACATGGAACTGTCGTGAGCTTAAGCCGCCAGTACTTCCGAGACTCTTTTTCCTGAGGCTCAAAACACCTTGCACGCCAAAGAAGCTAACC